GCGAAACGGAAATAATAAAGGAATTAAATAAAGGCGGTCGGCGAATCGGAACTAAATCAGCACAACCAGTATTTCACGAATATCGTGACCATATATTTATAGTCAAACCAAATGATAGATACATGTGTTCAACGTATAAAATGTTCAAAATTGGAAAACTTTTGCATTATGCCATATCGACCAACTAAATTATCAAGCTTTCAAACGAAAAATTTGGAAGCAGAAAACTTTAGATTTTATTTAAAATAGCGAGGTAGATATTAACTTCCTGTTTGACCATTGTACATACACGTATTTCGCATGCACTTTCTATTGATTTACCTACTTTAAAATAACCTTTTCAGCAGTTACATTGAATTTAGAAATTTCTAATGAACGAATTACGTGTACCTCTGTATAAAATGCAACCTTTCCAGAACTGACTGGATGTTTACTGATGGATAATAAATTACAAAAGATATTGTCCGTATGAATGGAAATTGAAACTAATGGTGTATATAACGTTACCTAAACTAACACTGATTATATCTGGATAACAAACTTGAAAACAACAACTAAAACTTTGTTTATTATGAATTGTTTTGAAGATATATGCTAGTCAGGGTGTACAGAGGGGTGGCGCACCGTTAGTGATTTTGCTGGTTATAGATGGGACGACCAAAATTGGCATAGTCCGCAACTGTGAGAATGGACGTATCTTCTTTCTTGTTTCCAGTTGGAACTGTAGTCGTTTGCACCATTTTGAACACGCCACTTGTTAAATTAGGAAATGCTTTATGAGTAGTACAGACAAAGTGAAAAGATATAACCGAATAATAGTAAGCGGTACAGCGGTTAAAGGTTGCTTATGTTAGGTTAGATAGGGATGAGTTAGGTTAGGTTACGCAAAAGATCAGGGTCGGTTTTATAACTGCCTGGTTGGAACTACATCTTTAAACAATCGTCTTTGCATTCCTAAATTCCTGAGAATCTTGAACTTTTAAGTTCCAGGCTGACAACATACTCAAATTCAGTTGGTTGTTAAATTGGATAATGCCTAGTTCCCTCCCATATACCGCTTTTAATTAGGGTTAAAATTTTCGGTATGTCGAATTCCCTCCCAATTATACATCAATTGCCTCCCAACGGCGGCGGACCTTGAGTGCTAATTGTCACTATAAAGTCATAAAGAGTTGTTTAAATAATACAGTCTCACAATATTAATCTTCACAAATACTGCAGTAATTGGTAAAAAACTCTTGTACCCGTTAAGTTCTATTAAGTAATATGAAGAAAACCGAAAAATCTGTCACGACTTAGTTTCCAAAATCAGTCGATTATATATCTGAATATGGGACGATAACAAATATCTTCATACAAATGAAAATGTGAGAACATTGGATGAAAACATTCATATACACATGATTACAATACGCAACGACTATTGATATATTTATTGGGTTCGTTTGGTAATAGTAATGGACGTATTTAGTCAGAGTAGTGGTATTGACAAAACAGTATTGTATGAAAATAAATAAAAATAAAACAGAAATACTGGTATGCTGCAAGGAAAGATAAAATAGGGAAAGAGCGAATATAAAGAGTGAAAATTAGAAGAAGTTCCTGATTTTAGATATCAAGGAAGTCAGATAAATCAGGATGGAAGGAGTAGTAGGGATATAAAGCAGAGGATAGCGCAGGGTCGTGTCGCCTTTAATAAAAGAAGTCACTTTCNAAATATATATTTATTTTCGATAAATAAAATCGGTAAGTAGTCGTTAACTTAATTATCGGAGTTGATATGAAGGAGAGGGAACTCGGCTAGTACCCGGGAGGGAATTCGACTATCTATATATTAACCAAAACTACCTGCGGGAGGGATTTCGGAATCACCGGTTAAATTAAATGTTATTCCTTTTTATTTATTAGTGTCCGTTGCAATTTCTACCTGACATCTCTTTCTATATTCCTTGCAAAGTCTGTCGTGAGTAAATGTAAGCGTTCTGACAGCAACCGCTCTAGTCTAGTTTGTAAATTTAAAGAAGAAAGTAAATGTGACAGTTTTATTGCGGACTACACCAATTTTGAATGTCTCAACTATACTTGATCATCTGATACCTAGCAAAATCACCATCCGATGCATCTCTAGTGATCGCTACTCATATAACAACACGGAAATACCCTGTACAGTTCTCAAATTGTTCATTTCATGTTACTAACTGCAAATGAAAACTTACAATTCTACCCCAAATTACCCTCTTAGTAAGTACGTATGTAAGTGTACTATATTAGTCCTTTTACTGACCCTTTCAACGTTCGTTCAAACGTGAAATTTTTATTGATGTTTTGTTATCGTGTTAGGTACGAATTTACAAGCGATTTACCCATTTCACCAAATAATAATTAGCATTCACTTTTCATTTTCACAATATTTCGATACGAAATGGACTCGAATTTTCTAGGGCGCATAAACATTGAGTAGGTACAATCAATATTCTACTTATTACATAACTTCGATTCTAACGCACTCATAAACAGCTAAATTAAATTTTATTGGAGGGGCGGCTTTTATGTTACTGAAATTTAAAACAAAACAGCTTACATTTTCATTAGTAGGTAATACATAACTAAAAGTAATAATTTTATTTGAAAAGTACCTATTTCCAAATTGATTCTTATCTTAATAGATACAGTGGATACATTTAGAAAAATAGAATTTTTCAAATTCCATTAACAACAACGATTTTGGATGGCCAGAATTCATTCTGTATCTAACTACCTTTACCATAAAACGTTTCAACTCCCCATTCCCCCTACAAAGTTTTAATTTTATGTAATATCGCCATCTTGGATATCTAATACTAGCGTAGAAAACTTATTTCACCCTTAAAGGATTGATATACATAGGTACCAATTTGCTTAATTTTATCAATGAGTATTAACAGCACTTTAAAGTAAATTAGATCACAAATAAAATATGTTTCATACAAACATTACAACCCCTTTTCATCCCTTTTCAAAGATGGAATTTTTTAAAATGTCAAACTAGGTGTTTATCTAACTATACCAAAGAGCATAAATACCAAGTTTCAAGTGCATCTGAAAAAAAATGTTCAATGCAAGCCTTTAAACTCTTAAGTGTCTTTAAATTACGAAATATCCTTCCTTATTCCTTGTAAATATGTGAAAAATTTTAGCTATATCAAAACGTCAAAATTTAACATAAAAGTTTTTGCATATAAAAGTACCATCTAAATTTCCGAATTTTTCCGAGGATTTCCCACAAATTTTCTTTCATATAAACTTGTCCTGTCAATTACGAACACAACGGAAAAAAATATCAGTCAAATCGGTTGAGATGTTCTCAAGTGATGCTCCGTCACACATGTGACAACTAGGAGCAGTTTGAATGTGATAAAGAAAAATTCGTTTTTTACGTTTTTCCTTGCACTGTTTCCAAATTTTCCCTTCATAAGAACCTTTCTCGTAAGCACCAAATTATTTAAAAGATTACATGTAATTATAAAAACTTAAAATGTAAAAAATTTGCAAAAATTCTTAAAGGGGGGGGGGTTTAGAACCTCCAAAATTCTTCCCTGTGTTCGCGCCTGACTCTACTTTAGATCTGTCGTCAAATCCGTTATTTCTTACATAGGATGAGTAATAATATTTTATAAAAATATTGACTTCAGAAATCAAAATTATCTGATTTTTCTTATGTAAACCCACTGTAAATTCTATAGTAAGTAATTGAACAACTAGTTATAAAGCATTTTACTTTAAAAACTATTTAAGAAATTCGTATTTTGTATTTAGGATGAATTTTTCAAAACTACCTTACGTTTAATTTATTTTCATATTGTATTTCATATTTTGTACTTTCTCTTTCAAATACACCGAAACAACTACTTTTTTACGTCGCTGATGGTTATATCAGTTTTAGTGTTAACGAAGCTGCGTCCCTTTTTAATACCCTGGGTCATACTTTATTACCCTAAAAAGGCATGAAGGATGATTAAAGATCCTAAAACCGCAAGAACTTATGAATATAGTCACCTATAAAATCTTTAAATACCGAAGGTTAAAGATAGCACATAAACAATGGAACTATAACCGAAACAATAAAATATTTATGTCATTTTAACTGCAAAATGTTCACGATATCCTAACATTTATTTCACATTTATTACCATGCATGGTCTTAAACTTAATTCCATTCGCCAGATATACGGTGGTTTCAAATGTAACGATTGCAACCACAGTCGATTCTAATTATAATTAACTTAGTACTTACAACGGTAAGTACGTTAACAATTTTTTAAAGCATAAGAACTCAAAACTGCGACAAACACAAACGAAGGGAAACAACAAGAACTCCTTTCCACAGTAAAGTAAATTATTATTTGGACCAAAAGCCCTGATCTAAATGAACTGTTAGATCTAGATGTTTCGTCGGCAACTGCAGTTGTTATCTGCAGTGACACAGCGTTAACAATGTGGACAGTTCTGACAGCGAGTTCGAGGTGTACTTAACTACTTTTCGTCCACGTTATACCTCGAAGGCGCCCACGTTGTCAACGCAGTACAACTGAAGATGTCAGCCGCAGTTGTCTACGAAACGTTTGCCTTTAACAATTCATTCAGACCATGGCGCTTCAGCCGAAATTATAATTCTGTCATGGATTCCAGTCGTGACTTATGTACATCTCACTACACCACACGTTAACTAGAAACTAAAAGACATAAAAGTGAGACAAAGACAAACCTTTATAGGATCACTTCGTTGTTTGTATGTCGGTCAAGATCTTTTTCTCAGGAACACACGGCGAAATGTGGTGTTTCAAGCGAATGATGAGGATACCGTGGATAGAGAAGGTTAGAATTGAAGAACATGAAGGCATGAAGGTCTAGTCAGAGACATATTAGAGGCAGAAACGAAAGTTAGGAGGGGTAGAGGTAGACCTCGATTAGATTACTGTTCGCAAATAGTTAAGGATGTGAGATGTTCTAGTTTTAGGGAAATGCGAAGATTAGCTCCAGATAGGAAAAAGGTGGAGGTAGGAGGTGCGTGTTCAGCCTGTTTTAGGACTGATGATGGGTTGGTAGGACACCTTCTCAGGAATTAAGGTCTAGTCAGAGACATGTTAGAGGCAGAAACGGAAGTTAGGAGGGGTAGAGGTAGACCTCTATTAGATTACTGTTCGCAAATAGTTAAGGATGTGGATTGTTCTATTTTTAGGGAAATGCGAAGATTAGCTCCAGATAGGAAAAAGGTGGAGGTAGAAGCTGCGTGTCCAGCCTGCCTTAGGACTAATGATGGGTTGGTAGGATACCTTCTCAGGCATGAAAGTCTAGTCAGAGATATACTAGAGGCAGAAACGGAAATTAGGAGGGGTAGAGGTAGACCTAGATTAGATTACTGTTCGGAAATACTTAAGGATATGAGTTGTTCTAGTTTTAAGGAAATGTGAAGATTAGCGCTTCAGAGAGGAAAGAGGTGGAGGTAGGAGCTGCGTGTCCAGCCTATCTTAGGACTGATGATGGGTTGGTAGGACACCTCAGGTATGAAGGTCTAGTCAGAGACATGTTAGAGGCAGAAACGGAAGTTAGGAGGGGTAGAGGTAGACCTCTATTAGATTACTGTTCGCAAATAGTTAAGGATGTGGATTGTTCTATTTTTAGGGAAATGCGAAGATTAACTCAGGATAGGAAGTGGTGGAGGTGCGTGTCCAACCAGTCTTAGGACTGACAACCTTATGATGATGTAATTATAGTTTTGAGGATTGATTTTAGGGGAAAACGAAACATACTCCAAAAATGGGGGGAAATCTTAGAGACTGGATTCCCACTAACTTGTATATTTAGGTCTATTACGTTCGTCTTCCTTTTTAAGTATTCACTACTCGTTACAGACGAATGTTTGCTATATGCAATGATAAGTTCTACTATGCCTGTACAGTGATAATGACATTATGTCGTTTTGTAATGTAGACAGAGTCTGACATTTTGTAGTTTTAGTCATTAGAAGATAAGCATTTGTTTGGATGGTTAATGCGAAAGCTGTGCCGCAAACCATTCATAAATATTTATGGACAGGCCGCGTGCTTTCGCTTTAATTACGCCTGCTTATAATATATGTATGTATGTAAGTATGTAGGTACTATCCCTTTATAATAAACGTTCCGTTTCGCTCATTTGACCGTACCCACCGTCGTCATTTACATTACGTTTCATGTTTAGCACAATAGGCATAACAGAGCGACTTCAGAAACAACCCTTCACTCTATTTAAGTAACTCTCTGGTATATATACATGCAAATAATACAAAGTTATGTAAATGTTAGAGGGAGAAAGTCAACGTATGACCCTTTGGTCCCCCAATTCGAATCTTTTCGGAACAACATTCATGACCAACGTTTTTCTATAAACGATTATTACAAAGTACACCACCTACATGCAGCAAATTGTTTCGTGAAAAGCTTGATTTTTTGCCCAACTCTGATTAAGCTCAAAAGAAGGACAAATAAGTCAGGTTTTTAATTTGTAACAATACAATAATTCGCTTTTAAATAAAAAATACAATTTCTTATTAATATCAAAGTGTGCTGTCACACTGCTAAAAAAAGAAAGTCAACTGAAATAATTTTCTTTGAATTTTTTTCACGATTCCTAGCTGTCAATTTTTTCATTCTAAAATACCTATGTAATTAGGGTTGCCACCCGTACTTTATTATAAGGTATTGTAATCTATTTCGACTGTGCGTAAGTTATACTTTACAAGACACATAAAGTATGCAAAAATACTTTATTTAAGACCTTAAGTAAACATCGTAATTTTCTAAGCGATTATTCGAAATTCAGAGTATTTTTACATCAATAATATTGCACAACGGAACAACCTGATTTCCCAAATCTGTTCAAAGTAGTGTCACTTTTGTTGTCCGTTCCGGCCACTTCAGCATTTACATCTTCTGTTATGAATGCAAAGTGGCGCGATAACAGGAATAAAGCTTAATTAAAACTAATTAAAAATGAACTTTTAGTTTACTTAAATCTTTGTTTGCCATGTTTAGAGACTGTTAATGTATTTAAGAGCGACAGCAATTTGTTACTGGCTGCTAGGTGTAACAAAAAATATGTTTTTAAAAACAAAAAATAAAATACTTTATTTTTATGCCGAGTACTTTTTTTTTAACCTTTAAGTCGAGAAATACTTTATATAAAGCCTGAAAAGGTGGCAACCCTATATGTAATACAAACCTTGACTTTCTCCCCCCAACGAAATAGGACTCCTCACTTCCCCTAATTTTTGTTACATAATTTATATAGAGTTCCACATAATTAAAAACTTCAAGAGGTACACTGTTAATTAATAATTTCCTGATTGTTTCAAAAAGTTCATGTCAGCGTATAAAACAGCTAAACAAGCACAATAAGAGCTTCCATATGATAAAAAAGAAAAATTTCATTCTGAGAAATGACAAAAACAGGGAATAAATTGTGTAGATAAAACCGGTAGAATCTCTTATCCTTCCTGACTCATACAAAATCCTTTTAATCCTTTCTTGAGCACTCCGACTGAACATGAGAGTAAAGCTATAAATAGTTATCCTTTCAAGCCCTTTCCTTATTGTTAGAACCGAACATAAATTATACCCGTTAAGGAAGTTCAGCCATCCGAAAGACATAAAATGCCTTATGGATTTGAAAATAGTAGTTGCAAATATAGAGAGACATGAAATTTAAATTTTAACAGCACTTAGGATAGTAAAAATGTTTTTTTTTGCTTTAATATTAAACTGTAAGGTTTAGTGTAGCTGAAAGAATATGTAATTTCTGATGCTGAGATACAATTTTTGCAAATGTGATTAAAACAGCTGTAATTGAAAAGCTGAACATATTTAAATATTTAGGGGTCGATCATAAAATACGTTCCCAAAAAGGGGGAGGACGAGAGTGACGAGAGGGTTAAAAAAATGTTCATTAATTTTAATTTAATTTTTTCTTAACTTTGCAATTCTCAAAATTTTTTATTACGATAGAAAGTCATTCTCATTACTATTTTTAATCACAAGAAATCGTTTGTAGGGGACGAGACTAGCTTTTGTTACGCAATATTTGTTAGAGGGTCGCTGCAAGTGTGACGAAAGGGGAGGGAGAAGTCCAAAAAGGTGAAATTGTGAGTGACATATTTTATGGACACCCCTTAAAGTGTAAATTTCATAATTACTCTAGATCCAAACATCAGCTTGTGTTAAAAGACTTCTTTTAATAATCATTTTATTTAGCAACTACTAAAGTCGTTTATTTTTTATACAAACCTATACCATCTGTCTATTCACTTATCACTCACCTACAGGGGCGGCCTTAGTCATTGGAAGGTTCGGGACGGGTAAATTTTTGCGAGGCCCTCATCTTTGTAGAATTAATTTTAATGATGATACTTGAAAAATGCAGTAATTCAGTTTACAGTTTTAAAATTGTTTATCGAAAATTAAAAGAAATTGATAAAGACAAAGATAGCAAATTTGCGGCTTCTTTTAAGACTATTAAGAAATTCAAATAAACATTAGTAGTATATACTATTACTACCTGATATTTTTCTAATTAGATTGTTGCGCGAGGGTGCGAGGCCCCTACAAGAGCGAGGCCCCGGGCGGTTGCCCTGTTCGCCACCCCCAAAGGCCGCCCCTGCTCATCTATGTTCATTCATACCTACCACAACCATTTCCAAAGTTCTAATGCCTCTTTTCTTAACTGTATGTTGAAAAGAATTTAACTCGCATACACCATACAGTTTCAAAAAGCACTTCAATATCCCGATTTTCGAAAACTTTGAGACACACCACATGTCTACTTTGTGTCCTATATTAAACAACACGAAACTTCGATATCACACCTGCACCTCTTTTATCAGTCTCAACGCGTTATTTCGTTCTTATGTGTCTTGCTCTCGATTACAATCAAATATAAAATAGGTTTCCAAGGACACATACTATCATTTTCAAAACAACAGCGAATAATTGTTTTTTATGACATATGGCGTCCTCTGGATAAACAACAACTACCTACATTAACTTAAAAAGGAATCTAATGGAAAACTGCAGATATTGTTAGTCCTTAATCTCAGACGTAGCTACAGGGTGTTCTGCAAAATTTTTATTTGCAACTATTGAATAATAATTAATTAGACTTCAGTTTAGACTTACACTTAATACATACATATACATATGAAGATATAGAAAATTGATGATAAAGAAAGACAGGGTATTCTATTAAAAATATGGATATATCAATCATCTATAGCTAATTATGGTTGATAAAATAAAACTATAATTCAAGCAATTTTGTACTATTATTGAAGCAATATTATAACGGTCATATAGGATTGTTTTCCTTTGTGATAAAACAAACTTTCCACTACATTCGCCTAGAACAAGTGAAAATGTTCTTCATTGTTTCTAGAAAGGTCCTCAGATAAAATGTTCTCGAATGTTTCTGTCTTTAGAATTTGCTATAGAATAGACTAGACCGGAAGGTTCGAGAATGTTCTGGAATGTTGGAGTGGTTTGGTTAAGTTTTCACATGTATTTTTATGTATTTCTGTCTTTGGGTTTGCGAATCGATCACCAAACACTATATCATCATCATCATCATAAGGTCATCAGTCCTAAGACTGGTTGGACACGTACCTCCATTCTTTCCTGTCCCGAGCTAAACTTCGCATTTCCTTAAAACTAGAACAGCCCACATCCTTAACTATTTGCGAAGAGTAATCTAATCTACGTCTACCTCTACCCCTCCTAACTCCTGTTTCTGCCTCTAATATGTCTCTGACTAGACCTTCATGCCTGAGAACGTGTCCTACTAACCTATCTCGCCTATTTTTTATTGACTTCCATAGACTCCTCTGTTCTCCTATTCTTTCCAATACCTCTCCATTTCTAACCTTTTCTACCCACGATATCCTCATCATCCACCTATAACACCACATTTCGAACGCTTCTAACCTTTTCTTTTCCGCCGCTCCCACTGTCCATGTTTCGCACCCGTACAAACATACACCTTTAACAACCTTTTTCGAATTTCTAAATTAACACGTTTAAAATAAGTGGGAATATAAACCCTGCCAAGTGGGATATCGTTAGCTTATAACCTAATTTTCGTAATTGTTTTGGCATTTTTTTTTTTTAATTCAAATTGTATGCTTGTCTTATTTCACATGTCCCGTTTCTTTACAGGATCGCTTTAGAAGAATCACGTCACCGAACACCAGAGGAGGACCGACCGACCGTTAGGGTTGTTGGTGCTGGTATAAGAAGCCGTCAAAATTTCCAACTGTAGCAAATATTGCTCCCCGACCGCAAACGGTACCGCCATTTCGTTCAGCAGCTTTCGACAATCTTTCACTTCAAATGTCAATTACTTGAAACGACGTTTCAGCTCCGGAGATTTGTCTTCGGAGTGCGACGACAGCGATACACAAGTCGATCCATATGCAACGAAACAACCCCCAGTTACCTCACAACCACAGGTAATAATTGACATTTTTTCGCGTCACCCGAAAAAGTATTATCTACTCAATAATGCATTCGCTCTCAAACTTCTCAAAGTTCCAAACCTTTTTAATCTTGTTACCTCCTGGCCTATTACGTAAACGGATTTTGCCCCTTCTTGAAAATGTTATCAAAGAAATCAGTTCACAGAAAATGAAAATCGACTTTATTTTATACGCCGTCTGCTATTTTGTAACAACTTCTTCAGGGTCGTTTTTTTTTTTTTTCAAGACTTTGCACTCATCGAAATGAAAGAAAAGGTCGTTTCTTTAGCAATTTTTTACGCCTTTGTTTTGGGACTTATCTCTATTCTTCAAACTTGAGTATTTTAAAAATTTCACATCGTTTTGCACACACTTCGGGGGCTAGGGGGTTAAGAATTGTTTTTTACATATTACTTTCCCCGCAGTTAGCAGCGTCGAAAAAGTAAGAAACCATGCTTTAAACAAAGATATTCTTGGTATAATGGCGCTAATCTGCCATTTTATTTAATTAATGTTTGGTCTCGTTGTGTGTTCTGATGTTGAGGTGGTTAAATAATAGAATGCGGAATAAACGATAACAAACTTTAATAAGCAAGAACGAAAAATGAAGACTAGAATTAAGAATGTAAAATGGTGAAGTTTAAATTAGGAAGGATAAGTCAGAACTGATTTTAGTTTTTGAAAAGAGATTGTAAGAAGGGCGATAAGGAGGAGTTAGAAATAAGTTAATTAAAGTAGGGAACCAATAATATACTAGTAAAATCTGGAAATTTAGTTTAGAAGAAATACTGATAAGTTAAGTTTGTCCCCAAATCACAGAAGAAAGTGACCATAAAACTGCAATTAGGAAAAGTAAGAATTATAGACGTCATGTAGTTAGTATACAGAGTTGAATTGTTAAAAGGGATGATAGGAAAGTACGTAGGCAATTAAATAGTCGTTTAGCTTAAGAATAGGTATAGAATAGAGTAAGTATAGAAATAGAATTATAAGAAAAGAATATTTACACAATAATAATACAACAATACAGAAATTCCAAATACACAAATACAAGTACTAAAGTTTTCACAGACATACCAAAAAATATATACAACCACACACTCAATACTTCACTCTAAAAAATTAATTATTTTCTTAAAAATTATCAAATCGCCACAAATGATAATCAAATTTGCTTCAGGTAATAATCAATATTTCCCTTACAAAATATTTGTTTTACCCCTGAATAGGTTATTATCCCCGTCCGGAACCCAGGCAATAAATAGATGTGAGACGAAGGAGTAGGAGAAGTAACTGATTTTAGGTCTCTAGGAAGTCAGATAATTCAGAACGGAAGGAGTAGTAGGAATATAAAGCAAAAGATAAAGCAGAAGATAGTGCAGGGTGAAGTCGCCTTCAATAAAAAGAAGTCACTTCTATGCTCGCAAACGATTCATTTTGAAATTCGGAAAAAGGTTATTAAAGGTGTATGTTTGGATCGCGGTGCTCTATAGACGATGGGCACGACGGAAAAGAAAAGGTTAGAAGCGTTAGAAATGAAGAGGTATTAGAAAAAATAGGAGAACAGAGGAATGTATAGAAATCAATAAGAAATAGGCGAGATAGGTTGGTAGGACACCTTCTCAGGTATGAAGGTCAAAGACATATTAGAGGCAGAAGGCAGTTAGTAGGGGTAGAGGTAGACCTAGGTTAGATTACTGTTCGAAAATAGTTAAGGATATGGGTTGTTCTAGTTTTAGGGAAATTCGAAGATTAGCCACGGATATAAAGGTGTGGAGGTGTGTGTCCAACCAACCGAGCGGCATGGCCTAGAGGTCTAGACCATTGCTTAGCATTCGGGAGGACGGCGGTTCGATTCCGGGTCCGTCTGCCTTGGTCCAAGTTTTTCTGTGGTTTCCTTGGATCACCTAGGCAAATGCTGAGGCAGTAATATTCCACAGATAATCTTTCACTCTCTTCTGTCTTCATTTCGTCCGTCTCATCTTTCTCACCCGAACCACCACCCACCCATTCCCACGATTCCTGAAAGCAGGCTGAAGAGGGCCGTCCGCCCTACCTTCCGGCATAGTCCGGAGGGACTGCCCGCCCACCAGCATTACTGGCTGGTGGGAATGAAACACCCAAAAGTTTTTTTTTGTGTCCAACCAATCTTAGGACTGACGACTTTATGATGATAAAGTAGTTATTCAAACCTCAGACGATGTCCCATCATCCTATCTTTATTATCCCTATTTGATTGTTATAGCACCCTCTGTTCTCCCACATTCTCAAGTATATCCCAATTTCCGACCTTTTCCATCTATTGCTTCCACAGCGCTCACTATCGTACAGAACCGTACTCCAATCTTTTTGTGTTAGTCTTTTACTCCTTTAAATCTACATTGAAAACTTAATCGTTAATAGAATTAGTCGCACCTTAATTTACTAGTACAACGTTACTTCCTCTGGCCGTAAATTACTAATGTATCACTGATTTAACCGAATGTTAATTAATATATCACATATTTAACCGCAAAGTTAATTGCTATACCATCGACTTGACCGCAGGACCGCAGATGACACATTAATCCCTGGCCGCTGTTGCTACTACCGAAAGATGACTATAATTAAGATATGTTTGAACAGCGAATTCTCCTGAAGCTGACGTTTAAACTAATTGTTATCATTAAGTTGCCTGGAAGCTTTTAAAACTGTTAAATAAATCTTTAGGAAGATCGCTACAGCTTGTAGCATCAGATAAAGGCTAAACTCATGGATGAGAATTGTTAATTCCTGAATATTACACTACAATTATTAATTAGAAATTCTAATCATCTACATATGGTCCATAACTATTAAAGTCTGTTATTTAGATACTGTCCATTCTTTGATTCATAGTCACCATGGATCAAGGAGATTTTTGATCAGATAATTACCAGATAATACTAAATACAATTTTCACCCAATTCGACACATTTTCTAAAAGTTTAACTAATGCGAATTCAAGTTACTGCTATATAGAAGCCAAAAGGAATTCATATATGACATCCACATGATCGCTTCAATAGCATAATTTCAGTTTTTTTCCGTGGTGGCATAATTTTACAAAGATTAGATAGACTCTGGGAGAACCCACGCGGTTTAGGTCAGTATCCCACTGAAGGCAATGCGATCGCTATCCGATGCTAATAAAATCATTTGACAGTCAATTACATGTATACTACACGTTAGGGGTTACTAGACGACTTTCAGAAGGAACTACCAGCTTCGTGACGAAAGAAAAATAACCATCAAGAACTTTTTTCTGAGAAACGATCCTTCAACAACAATTGTTTAAACTTTGCATCAACTATTAAAAGTTCTTTTGAAGGAAGCCTCGTGTATTTTAAATATTCACACGCATGTGTCCACCACCTACGTTTTTATTTAACAACAACAACAAAACCATCGTCTTCTGCTTCGCTTGACATGATCTAGAGCACGAGTAATCGTTAAACAGTTGCCTCTTCTAAAAAACGAACATTTGGGTGTTTCATTCCCACCAGCTAGTAATGCTGGTGGGCGGGTAGTCCCTCCGGACTGCGCCAGAAGATAGGGCGGAAGACCCTCTTCAGCCTTATTTCAGAAATCGTGGGAATGGTTGGGTGGTGGTTCGGGTGAGAAAGATGAGACAGACGAAATGAAGACAGAAGAGAGTGAAAAGATTATCTGTGGAATATTACTACCTCAGCATTTGCCTAAGTGATCCAAAGAAACCACAGAAAAACTTGGACTAAGGCAGATGGACCCGGAACCGAACCGGCGTCCTCCCGAATGCTAAGCAATAGACTAAACCTCTAGGTCATGCCGCTCGGTTGCCTCTTCTATATGTGACAAAGTTTGTATAGCAATTATCGCCAGACAACTTTCAGCAACGTTACATTCAAATCGCGTCGTCTTCAGTTGAATACCACCCTTAGAATCCACGAAAATGAACATGGAAAAGGAAGTCACGATTGCCGCCAGTTGCTCGCTCGTGCAAACGAATTGTCTTCGCTTGCTACGTACCGGAATGAAACGAAAATTGAAATTTGAAATTCAAACGAAGTGTGTATGAAGTATATATATGTGAGCCTTTGTATGTATTATGTATGTGTGTTGACGTTGCTAATTTATGTCAGTTGAATACGTATATAGTTGTGCATAAAATGGAAGAGTGAATTCGAATACCTATTATACATGGTTACGTATACTTCACTCAAAGCTCCTCTTGAAAGAAACTTTCTGGAAATTGAATGTGCTCAAAGGCTATTCAAGTAATGAAAGCCCGTTGGACCGAAACGATTTATACATGAAAACATTTGAGAGATGCATTACTTCCAAAAAATCGCGTAAGACGCTAAAAAACAGACATTATTGTTTCGGTCTTGGTGGTTGTCCAGTCCAATAAAATTTGACGAAAGACCAATCAGCAAACGCTATCTGGGCATCCCCAAGTTTGTCTTTGCAAGTCGACCGTCAAGTCGACGCAAACCGCTATGTGTCATTGTCGAGCCGACCGCCGAATCGACACAAACCGCTGTATGTGACATCATCGAGCGGCAATTAAGTCGACTAATGGGTTGGCACAAACCGCCGCTGTGTATATCACAGTTAAGCGGCAACAAAATCGACTTATATATCGGCACAAACCGCTAACGGTATAATCAACACAAACCGCTGTATGTCATGGTCAAGCGGCTGTCGAGTCAACACAAACCGTTATGTGTGTCATCGTCGAGCCGCAGTTGAGTCGACTACTGAATCGGCACAAACCGCTATATGTATCATGGTTAAGCGACGACCGAATGGACTGTCATGTCGGCACAAACCGCTAGCAGTAGAGTCAACATGAACAGTTGTTTGTCATCGTCATGCGGCAGTCGAGTCGACACAAAACGTTATGTGTGTCATCGTCGAGCGGCAGTTGAGTAGACTACTGAATCGGCACAAACCGCTGTGTGTATCATGGTTAAGCGGCGACCGAATCGACTGTC